CTGCTTACCCCTCTTCCTGCTGCCCACAGAACCTAACACCTCCAACGTGGGCTGTTCCAACCTAGACCCGAACCCCTCACCGCTTCTCTCTCACCCCTTTACATTCTAGGTGTCCCGGCCACCTGAAAACCCCAGGCCACGGGCTGGACTCTCAGCACCTCTGCTTCTGCCTGTCCTCTGCAAGCACGCCCTGCCCTGGCCTCTCTACCATGGAGACTCCTGCTCCCTCCTCAACAGCCAATTCCTGTTACCTCACCCAGGACACTCCCAACCCTCCAGCAAGGGATCCAATATTCCCACAACCCTTTGTTCATATGATGAATATGGGATCAATACAAAATATTAACAGTTGTATGCTCCAGTCTGCCTGCCTTCTCCAGTGCACTGCGAGCAAGGGAGAAAGTTTTGATTTTTATCCTTAGTATGCACAGCATTTTTTAAAAAAAACTGTTCAGGAGCACCTGGGTGGCTCAGTCAGTTGAGTGTCCGACTTTGGTTTCAGCTCCCGTCATGGTCTCACGGGTCATGGGATCAAGCTCCAAGCTCAGCAGGGAGTCTGATGTAAGATTCTCACCCTCTGTCCCTCCCCCCAACTTGCTTGTTCGTGCTCTCTAAAATAATAAGTATTTTTTTAAAAAGGAAGGAATAAAGGAGGAAGGAATAAAATCAAAATCCTCCCATATGACTCAATTTTGTAAAGTTCAATTTTCCTGAATCTACAAATACATGAATCAGGATATTGGAGGGTATTTGATGAAATGGTCCAAAATTCATATGGAAGAATTAATGCCCAAGAATAGCCAATTAAAAAAAAGAAAAAGAATAGCCAGTTAAATTTTTTAAATTATATGAAGAGGAAGAATTGTCCTATATTATGTTAAAGTGTATTAAATCAATGGAACTGGGCGCCTGGGTGGCTCAGTTGGTTAAGCGACTGCCTTCGGCTCAGGTCATGATCCTGGAGTCCCAGGATCGAGTCCCGCATCGGGCTCCCTGCTCGGCAGGGAGTCTGCTTCTCCCTCTGACCCTCCTCCCTCTCATGCTCTCTCATTCTCTCTCTCGCAAATAAATAATTAAAAAAATCAATGGAACTATATAAAAAGTCCAGAAATGAACACCAAGAAGGAAGAAATGTTACACAAGAAAGACAGAGTTTTAAATCATACAGACAGATTAGTCAATAAATAATGTTGAAACAGCAAGTTAAACGCTCAGGGAAAACACCAGCCTCCCCACACCTCACCTCACCCCAACATGAACTCCAGATGCACATAAGAGTTAAATGGAAAGATGAAATGCAAAAGTCCGAGTAGAAAGCACACCTAAATCTTTTACAGTCTTGAAGTAGGAAAGGATGTTATAAGCCAGACGCAAAACCCCAGACATTAATGAACACTGTTCAGTTTGACTATTAAAAACTGTTAAGTTTCTGAGTCAAAAACATATGTAAAATTTGAAAACCGTATCCAGGGGCGCCTGGGTGGCTCAGTGGTTAAGAGGCTGCCTTCGGCCCAGGTCATGATCCCAGGGTCCTGGGATCGAGCCCCGCATCGGGCTCCCTGCTCAGCAGAGAGCCTGCTTCTCCCTTTCCCTCTGCCTGCCGCTCTGCCTACCTGTGCTGTCTCTCTGTCAGATAAATAAATTTAAAAAAAAAGTCTTTAAAAAAAATTAAAAAAAAAAAAAAGAAAACGGTATCCATACTTACACCAATGCACACAACCCTACGTGCTCACACACCTCATCCGACCAGCAGAGCATAAGGTCAGTGAAAGACAAAGTAGGAGGAGTCATTCATAAGAGACACACCAAGAGGTTCCCCTTGCGCCATAGGCACCCAGCGCGCTCCCAGAGCAGCAGATGTCCCCGGTGCCGCGGGCATCACGTGGGTGAGGACAGTCAGCAGAGCCTGCAGAGCATCCGCCGCAAGCCCAAACGGTCACACCCGTGATGGGATCACCCACGTTTTGAAACCCTCGCACGAGTGCACAGAGATGTTAGAAGAAACACGAATACCACAGGGGTCTGGTTAGATGCTAAAAAACAACCATTGGGAGAAAGTGGTGGGTAGGTGAGTGCGTAGAAACTACAGTGGAAAGAGCAGAGCTTGACCGTCCAATGGAAAAGCAAAGACTGCACAGCTGAGCAAGACCATTTTGGAAGGCCCCCGCCCAGGCCCGGTGATCTGTGTGCTGATGCTGGACACACAGAGATAGCCGCAGACCCTGCTCTCTATGGAGACAGACAAGCGTGAGGAGGTTGCTGATGGCAAACCAAGACGAATGCTCCGCAGGGGAGGAGGGTGCAGGGACAAGGAAGGGCCCGGGCCTGGAAGGCACCCTGCGTCTTGCAGGAAGCGTGTGCTGAGCACTGACTGCCCGGCCACAACCTTAGAGGCACCATCTCTCAACACACAGAGCCAAGCCGGTCTGGGAGAAACCCATCGCTAGTTAGCTCGTTAACAGCAGGGCAGGACTCACCCAGGACTGGCTCCCGGAGGCTCCAGTCCACGCCCCTGCTAGGATGCACACTAGCAGAGGTCATGAAGGCAGGGGTAAGCAGGTATCCCTCCCAGCATCCCACACATCATCGCTGAGTGAAGAAGCGGCTTCCTCCTCATTCACCTCAACTAAGCAGTCATCCCACCACACATGCTAAGTCGACCAGGCACCGTCTAAGCCCCCAGAGTCCCAGCCCTTGGCTTGAAGGACACCCACGTGTATTATGGCTGCCACATGACATGGCAGAGGATAACAGAGGTGCTGGGCCAACCGCACCAAGCCCAAAGTGGGTCAGAAGGAGGCATGGGAGGTGAGGAGGCCATGGACACTACTGGCCAGAGGCAGCCATGAGTCTGTCTGAGGGTCAGGCCACCATGTGGGGACATGGGAATGACCCACCCCTGCAGCAGGCCCCTGGACTTTCCCTTCTAGCACAGGAGCCAGAGAAGAATCAATTCCCAGAGTCACCAACAAGAACCTGGGCTGATGACCCAGGAAAGGCAGTCCAACAGCTCATCGCTCACAGTCCCTTGGGGACGCTGTTTCTCAACATAAGCCATGCCGAGCTGTGTCACTGGGTTCGCACGCAAACCCCCAAAGCCAGGTGGCCCTTCAGCTCAGCAAAGAAAGCACATTCCTCATAACTCCAGCAGCCAGTAAACCCTGAGCACTGGGCAGGAGCCCACAAGAGCCACAGCTTTCTCGGACCAACCTCAAGGAGATTAAATAATTCAGCTCATTGAAGAGGGAGATCTGGAGCTGCTGATCACATACTAGCCACAACCTGACCGCTCACCTGGGCCTCAGTGGACCCTGGGTCTGAAAACTAAGTGCAGACACCTGCTTCCAAGCACATGGGACTAGCGGTGAATGCGAGCAAGCGTAAGCCCCACAGGCTCCACCTCTGATCCACTGATGTCCCTCAGCAGGCAGCAAACAGCCCTGGGGAGTGAGATACAGCGAGATGCAGGTCTGAACAAGCCACAGCAGCCTGAATATCGGTTGCAAGGTAACCGAGGGAGCTCAACTCAGGTCATTCCACCCTGACACCACAGAGGAACCAGAGACACCTGCTCACGTGAACCACAACGGCCTGAGGCCTGGAAATAAAGATCCTGCAGCAGCATCCCTAGACCCCTTGGGTGCCAGGACTATAGGCATGATGTAGCCGCATCACAATCAAGCCACTGCGAAGTGTCCTACCACTGGCGATTCCCACAGGGGTCTCCCTCTGAACCACTCAAACCCAACAGCTCTAATACTCAACTCACCATCTTCTCCCCTGGCCTCTCCCTGGCCCCCAACTCATCTGCCTCTTTTCCTGTGTCATCATGCACTCAGCCATCTGGGTCAGGAATCAGCATCTCCCCTTCCTGTTCCTCCATCTCCCTTCCCACACCCTATGGTGGACTTACTGACCCTCTTCTTCTCCTCCACCCCTACCACCACCCCTGTCCGAAGTGGTCCCCGCCTCCAAGACTGTCCCCTCAGAGCCAGCCCCCACCCCAACCCCACCTGTTGCCCCCACCAGACAGCCACTCCAGCCGACACCCCCACGCAAGGCCAGTGGCCTGGCTCCCCGCACCAGGCCCGCTGCCCGCACCGCACCCCTCCGACTCACTTCACCGCGCCCACCCCGACGAGGTCTGCAAGTGTGCAGGTCGGCCCCGCCCGCTCCCACAGAGCCCTCTCTCCGGGCCCTAGCGCCGCACCAACACTAGGGCCTCGGGGCCCAGGGACTGGGGGCCGGCCCGGCCCAGCACCGCCGAGCTCTCACCTGATTGCCTCCGGCCCCGCCGGCTCCACGACCCGTCCTCTCGGACCCACAATCCTCGTGACTTTTGCACAACTCCTCCCTGCTCCGGACCGCCGCCTCCTTCAATGTCAGAGAGGCGTCGGGAAGGGTCCTCTCAGAGCTCGGGCTCGGCTTCCCCGAGGACAGCCCGCCGCGCCCGCCGCGCGCCCCAAGGCCCCGGCACCCGCCCCGCCCGCCCCGGCCTGGGGACGAAGGGGAGCGGCCAGCTCCCGGGCCTCTTCCGGGCTGTGACGCGGCTCGCCCGGCTCCTCGGCCGCGCCGGGAGCGCCTGAGCCCCGGCAAGGGGGCGGGCTCGGCTCCACGACGCGCGGGACCCTCCTCGCGCTCGCCCCTGACCTTGGGAAGCGCCTCCCGACTCGGCTTCCCACGCAGCCCCGGACGAAGGGGCGGCCCGCGGCCCGCCCGGCCCAGGCTCCCCCGAGGGGCGCCTCTCCGAGCGAGCGCCGCCGGTCCCCCGGTCCCCGGTTTACCTGAGCAGCTGCCGCCGCGACCCGGGCGCCGCCCCCCCACCCAGCCGCGGCCCGGAGTGGGCAGGGCCCCGCGCCGAGCCCGCCCCCGCCCCTCCGCCAACCGCGGCGCGGCGCGCGGCAGCCCGGCCCCGCCCCCACACGATCTCTGCGCTCATTGGCCGGAGACGCGTCCCTCTCCCTCCCCCTCTCCACCCCGCCCACCGAGCCCCAGCAGGCGGCAGTGCGCAAACTCCGCCTCGCACTCGGCCCCGCCCCCAGCCGTCCAGAGACCGCCGCTCCCGACAGTTGGGCGCGAGCGCGGCCTCCGGGCCGGCCGCAATAAATGCGGCCGGTCACTGCGCAGGCGCGGGGCGTGCACTTCCCGCTTCCTCCGCGCGGGACCTGGCTCCGTCCATCTCTGCGCCTGTCCGCATCGGACGCTCACACCTCGTAGGTCCAGGCACGCAGACACCGCTCCACACCCCGAGGAACGCATCCGGGACGCGGGCTCGGCGCGCCATTGTGCACAAAGCCAGCCCCCTCGCAAACACACACCTGTTCAGGTACACACGCCAGGTGGGCCCAACCTGGACACACCGGGCACTATCATACCTTATTATCTCTCACACAAGAACGCACCCAACAAACACCCAGAGACCCTGGGGCCGTCGACTCCTCCGAGAACAGACACGTTCAGTTGGCCAGCAGTGGGGACCAAGATGAGCAGGTGTCTGCATTCGGGAGCCTGGGCTCTGGAGAGAGGGGCAGGTAATAAGCAAACAGTAAGACACGCGAAGCGCTGTGAAGTGGCGCCGCTGGGGGACGGAAGGAGGCAGGATCGGACTCAGAGGGAAGAAGCTGGGGGAGGAGCCGCGTTCTGGCACTTGCACCCGCACGGCCTCGGCCTCGGAGGCTGGAATCATCTGGGCATGTTTACAGGCCAAAAAGAAAAAAGAGTGGCGTAGCAGCTCAGGAGGTGAGAAGGGCGGTCTGAGAAGGAAGTGGTCAGCAGCACTACCTCCGGGCCTAGCAAGTGTCTTCATCTCGCCGCAGGTTGGGTCTGCAGAGAGCTGTGGGCGATGGTGTGAGGGTGCAACGTGCGGCCCCGGGGGGGGGCAGCTGAGCAGTGCAGGGAGGGACATCTTTTCCCAAGAGAGGAGGGGTTCAGCCCTTTTCTGTTGCAGGGGTGGAGCCCAAAAGACGGACAGAAGGCTGACCATGGGGCGCTCTGCAGATGGGGCCTGGCCCCTCGGGAAGAGCCCCAACCACCCCCCAAACCCTCTCGCACAGCATGTAGAAGTTGCTAGGGCAGGAGGCAGGCCTTTTCGAAGCTCCCATCTGGAGGATTCACTTTCCTGCCCAAGCCCTCCCTCCGGACATGGCCAGTGCCCAGCATGGCCCACTGGCTCTGCTCCCTCCCCAGCCTCAGCCAGACTTTACTCCCCAAGGACACAAACTGCCCCAGCAAACATCACAGCTGTCATTTTGCTTTATTACGTTACTGATGCCAATCTCCTGTCTGCAACTGTAAGCTCTAGGAGAGAAAGGCCCATGTCTGTGATTTGCTCCCAAGTGCTCAGCACCAAGCCCAGCACGTGATATCATGGGTGCTCAATGCATCTCATGGAATGGTTGGATGACCAAGAATGCAGTGAAGGAGGAGGGCACAAAAGACTTTGCAAAGGGAGGGTGGACAGAGCTGTTGACCGTTCGGGGTCCTGCCTGTCTCTGCACGATTCTCACTGGCTTCCAGTTGTGTTCTGGCACTGGTGGGAGCTGGGAAGGTGACAGCTGACATGGTTCCCAGGCTCCACAGCAGCAGCTGGGAGGCACAGACACCCCTGGCCAGAGCCACACAATTGTCCCCTTTGCTGCTCCAGCCCCCTGACACCTGAATAACAACCCCCAACACCTGAGATCTGGAGGTTTCTCTTCTCTAACCTGCACGTCAGCAATGAACAAAGTCTGTGCATATTTTCTATATCCCAGGCAATTTGACAAACAAGGGCAGTGGGTGAGCAAGGGAATATTAAACACAAGGATGTGAACGCCTACTATGGGATGGGTGTGTCAGGCATGGTTGGTGGACAGGAGGCAGGGACTAAGGGAGGTGGCCATCAGCAGCTCCTGTGACTCCTTAGAACAGTGCCTGCCACACAGCAGATGCTCATTAACGTTAGCTGCTACCCCGTGGCAACAATGCTCCCAGAAGGCTCTGGAGGCCAGAAGTGAGGGGCCATGCTGGCTTCCCTCGCCTAGAGCCCAGACCGGGGACCCTTGCTTGCCTTGGGGATGTGTCAAGTCTGAGGAGAGCTTTGGGTGCCAGGCCTCCTGCAGCGTCCCTTGGCCTGAACAGAAGCTTCTAGGCCACAGCAGAGGAGTCAGGTAGCTCCCGGCCCATGCCCTTCTTCTGGCTCAGCCTCTATTGCAGCATACCTGGCTGCCACCTTGCTACCCTCGAAAAGGAGGAGGGGCTCAGCTGAAACAGTTCTAGCACATGTTGAGTTGCCTTTCCCCTTCTTTATATCCTTGGAAACCCTGCTTACCTTCCCTCGCTCACCCTCCCCACAAGCTTCTTTAAAGGTCTTTTGTGGCCAGTCACATAAGGCCTCACCCTGCCTTGGGGATTCTCACCCCACTAAGACTGGGCCCCATGAAGGACGGGGCTAGTTCCAGCAAGATGTTCTCAGAGAAGATAGGCCCTGGGGGACAGAACTCCCCTCTTTGAAGGCAAAATGCAGGGGCAGCTCTAGAACCCCCTATTCTGGAATCTGCCCCTGCTTTCCCAGAGCCTGCCTTGACCCACACCAGTCCATGGCTGTGTTAGCTTCCCACCCCAAGCTCTCAGCCCTGGTCACTCCCTTGCCTCTGCCCCGGTCCCAGAAAGACTTCAGAAATTTGGGTGCAGCCTCAAGGGGCACAGGTCCCACCAGCCTCCTCCAGCCCTGTTTTCCTAACCCCACTGAGGCACCTCCCTGCTGTTCTGGCTCCTTCCTGGTCTAGTATCCTCCCAAGGACCTGGAAGTTGGCCACCCCTAGCTCCAGAACCCCTTGCGCATATCAGGGTCAGGAAGGAAGGGGAAGGTCAGTATAGACCCCCAAGGATGCTGCTTCCCAGCCTCACTCAAGTTCAGCAATGTGCACAAAGGACATGGGGTCTGTCCACGTCCCCCCATTCAGGGGCTGTGGTCTGCACACAAGGGCCACCCTCCACCCCTACAGGTGGCTATCAAGATCGTCTCCACTGCCGAGGCCCCTGTGTTCTCCCAAAAGTTCCTGCCTCGTGAGATACCGTCACTCAATGCTACCTACAAGCACCTGAATGTGGTAGGCAGAGACCCCGAAACAGCCCATGCCCATCCTGCCCATGCCCTGCTGCACAGGACCACCCCCTTTCCCACCAGGGACCCTTATGCTTGGGGCCCAGCCCCATCCCGAGACCCTGAGCCAATGCACTGGACAGCCCCTCCCTGGGTGATAGCAGGGGGGTCCGGCAGGTGCAGCTCTATGAGACCTACCAGAATAGCCGGCGCTCCTACTTGGTGCTAGAGCTGGCAGCCCGCGGTGACCTCCTGGAACACATCAACGTGGTGTTGGACCGCCGCTGCCGCCCGGGGCTGGGAGAGGAGGCGGCCCGCAGGCTGTTCTGGCAGCTGGTCAGTGCCGTGGCCCACTGCCACAGCTCGGGCATCGTGCGCTGGTGAGGGGGCTGCCCCACCTGCCGCAAGAGGCCCACCTGAGCCCGGGACCAGCACCACTTCCCTTTCCCATGCAGGGATCTAAAGTGTGAGAACATCCTGCTGGACGACCAAGGCCTCCTAAAGCTGACCGCTGAGCCTGTGGCCCAGCCCCACCCCCTTCCCTGGACTCCCTGACTCATGACCTCAGCCTTCAACTTCTTCATGAGGCCCACCCATTTTCAACTGCTGTCCCAGCCAGGACCCCAGCCTCCACCCTCGCCTGCTTCAGACTTTCTTCTATTGCGTTGAAGACCCATTTATTCATTTGAGAGAGAGAGGAGGGGCAGAGGGAGAGGGAGAATCCTGAAGCAGGCTCCCTGCTGAGCGCGGAGCCAGACGCAGAGGTGGGGCTCCATCCCAGGGCCCTGAGATCCTGACCTGAGCCAAAACCAAGAGTGGGCCACTCAGCTGAGCCACCAGGCGCCCTGCCTGCTTCAGAATTTTGACCCCCACCTGGCTTGACCTTTAACCCTCCCAGGAGGCCCGCCCCACGCTTGCCTACACTTGTGTTTGCAGACATCTACACACTCCACATCTGCCCCACAGCCATCCGTCCTGAGCCCACTGTCCCTTCCCCTCCTGCTCCTCCCATGGTCTACTGCTTGCCCGTGCCCCCCTGTGCGCCCCTGGCAGACTTTGGCCTCGCCAACCGGTCGGGCCTCAAGAACTCGCTGCTGAGCACCTTCTGCGGCTCTGTGGCCTACACAGCTCCCGAGATCCTCATGAGCAAGGAGTACAATAGGGAGCAGGCCGACCTGTGGAGCCTGAGTGGTACCCACAGGCTTCCCAGCATAGGACCCATGGGGGGGCAAGAGAGGAGGTATGCCCTGAGGAACCTGTGTCCCCGGGGCATCGTCCTTCATGCCGTGGTGACTGGGGAGCTGCCCTTGAAGGGGCACCAGGCCCACCACATGCTGCACCTGATGCGCCACGGCCCACCTTCAGGCCAGGCATGTACCCAGGTGAGGGAGAACAGCCTGTGTCCCTCCCAAATCCCAGCATGAGCGACCTGGGTCCAGGGGCGCCTGGGGGGCTCAGTTGGTTGAGCGTCTGCCTTCGGCTCAGGTCATGACCCCGGGGTCCTGGGATGGAGCCTTGAGTCAGGCTCCTGGCTCAGCGGGGAGCCTGCGTCTCTCTCTCCCTCTGCCTGTGCTCTCTCTCTCTCTCAAATAAATAAGATCTTACAAAGAGAGAGACCTGAGTCCAGAGAAGGGTCATCCTGCGGTGAGGGGAGTGGCAGTGGCATGGGAGGCTGACCTGGCACCCCACTCCCAATAAAGGCTGGTAAACGGACTGTAGCAAAGAGAAGAGAGGGCAGCGGGGCCGGGGAGGTCCAGACTCAGACTCCTTGTCTGGAAAGGCAGTGGTCCCGGTGAGCTCGGAGCTCCGCACTGGCACAGGGCAAGCCACCTTCCCTCTCTGTGCCTCAATCTCGTGACTGGTGAAGCATGGACTCCCTCCAGGCGTTTGGGCGACTGAATGGGATTCCTCCCCCAACCTGCCAGCATCGTTGACAGGGATGGGCACGCGCAAGAGGGTAGGCAGTGGGAAGCCACAGCTGTGAGCCCTTGCCCACAGAGTGCCAGGACCTGATCCGGGGCCTGCTACGGCTACGCCCGCATACACGCCTGGACCTGCAGCAGGTGGCCGCCCACTGCTGGATGCTGCCCGCCGCGCAGGCCCTCTTCTGCACCATGCTCCGCTCGGCGCCAGGTAGGGTGGGGTCCCAGGGGGGTGGGCAGGTGGTTGGCCCCTCAGTGCCCCTCCTGATCCCCACGGCTGTCGGCTGCAGAGAAGCCAGCTAAGTCCCAGCTGCCCACAACCCTTGACCACACGGAGCGCAGCAGAGACTCAGAGCCTCCGAGGCAGCTCCTGCAGCTGCGGCGCCCCCACCAGGGGGGCACTCACCGCGAGAGTGCTTCTGGCCCAGTGCCTGAGCCCCCAGAGGCAGTCCCAAGAAGAGATGCAGGATCTGCCCAGCTGGGGCTCCAGAACCTGGCGGCAGCCAGCCTGGGGGTGGGCGCCTCCAGGTAGCCACTGTCACTGAGCTCCACGTTTGCCACCAGGACCACGCCTGGGCACTACCTGGTCAACTGAGCAGGAGTAGGCCCAGGTGAGGCCAGATAAAGCATTTATTTTATGGAGGGGATGCTGCCGTCTCAGCACAGGCCAGGGCAGCCAGCCACGGGGAACCCACTAGCACTCCCCATCCAGGGAGAACACGAGTCCACGCGCCTCCATGCCAGAGCTTTACTCGGGAGGAGGCAAACACAGAGGGTACCACAGAGACAGGAGATACCTCGTTTCCATGAGGCACCCAGCCTTGGTGGAACTGGAGTGGACCTCCGGCTTTGGAGGCAGTGACAGGACTGAGGACGTGTGGAGTGAGGGTGCTGGGAAGTCAGGGCGTCAGGCTGCACTCCAGTGCCAGAGTGCAAGGGAGTCCTATGCCAAAGATGGCACCAGGAAGGGAGCACAGTGCGGGGAGGGCCACGCGGACAGCCTACCAGGCTTGGCTTGGCAGCTGCAGAACAGAGGACCCACACAAGGGGCTGGGGGAGAACAAGTTTCTTGGGCCCAAAGGGGGTTCCACGGGGGCAGAGGGTGGTAAGGGAAAAGGTCTGGCAAAGAGCAAGGCTGCAGGCCCATCAGGAAGACTCTCCATGTGTGAGGCAAGGGGCTCTGAAACTCAAGGAAACTGACCAAGGATAGAGCCTAGTTAGTGGGGACAGCGAGCGCATCACATCAGTCCTGGGCTGGAGAAACTAGCAAGGGACTGAGCAGGACGGGGGAGGGGATGAAGAGAGACAGTACCCAGCAAGCGCTCCAAGGACAAACCAGGGGGGCACAGCTCTAGGAGATCCCAGGACAGGCTGAGGCTGGTGAAAGTCACGAGAGGTCAGTCCTTTGAGCCTGGATCTCTGGCAGGGCAGGCCGAGGACCCCAGGATTGAAGACTCAGGTTGGACTGGCAGCAAAGGGCACTGCTTGCACCTGGATGCCCACCGATGCCCAGACCTCTGTAGTGCCCTTGGGGGCTGCTCAGGCTTGTACGGCTTATCTGTCCAGCCCCATCGGCCACCTTCCTGGAGGTACGTACCTGAGAGTCACAGGGCGTGACTAGCTCTGGCTGGTCAGTGCTGGTCTGAGCAAGCTGAGTTGCTCGAGGGCACGAGGAGGTACCCCGACCCTCGCAGGTTTATTGGGCATTCGCCCTAGACACCTCACCCTGAGCGTAAGCGTAGCTCTGCTTTTCAGCATGGAACAACCTCTGAGCAAGGAGACCCAGAGGCCTGCGGGTGGCTGCAGGAAGGCCTGGACTGAAGGGCTGGCAAAGGTGGGCCTGGAGCCGGTGGTGGGTTGCAAGGGCCTCAGGTGGGTGTAGCCCCCTCTGCTTGTGGTTCTGGGGCCAGCTCCTGTGGCTGCACCTGGGTGTACTGCTCCAGCTGCTGGTGGTCCAGCTGCTGCAGCTGTCTCTCCACATCCTCGGGCACCTGTACCTCCAGCAGGTTCTCCATGCCCGGCTCTGGCTCATCCCCAATGAGCACCTGCCAGCCCGGGAGGCAGGTGAGCATCTGGCTGGCACACCACGGACATCCACCCCCCTTCCCCACAAGCCTCGCACCCACCTGAATGAGTTTCTCACAAGTCACCTGCACGTCGGGCTCTGGCTCCCAGCTGTGTAGCTCACGCAGGATCAGGTAGGCTCCCTGGTTTCTCACCTGCTGCCGACCAGACGCTGTGGCTGTTAGCTGGAAGACGGCAAAGGTCGCACAGGTATCAGTGCACTCACGTATGCATGGGCATGTTGCGAGGTGGCGTTAGCATAGCAGGACCCCTGCTCACCAGCATGATGGCCTCGAGGAGCATCTTGCGGATGTCAGCATCAGGCTCTCGCTGCTTGTCTGGCGGCAGATACTGCAGGTCGGCAGGCAGCCCTAGAGGTGTAGGTGGGGTTACTGCGTGCCAGCACGGGGTAGCTAGGCCAGACCCTGCCTTGGTAAGCCCCGTCTGTGCTCAGCATCTCCCTGCTGGAAGGTTTCAGAGGGAGTCCTGATGGGCGCATCTGCCCGCCCCCCCAGTGGCCTTCCCCTCCTCCCCCGCCAACCCTGAGGCTCCACCCAAGCCACTCACGCTCCATCTCCTCCTCAGAGAAGTCCTCAGGCCCAGCCAGGGGCAGCAGCAAGAAAGGGAGAATGTCCACCTGGGGCCCAAGCAACAACTCGTGGTGTCCTGAGGGGAAAACAGAAATGGGAGCCAGCCTAGAGGGGGGCCCCCGAAGTGGTCTCTTTGCCCCAGCCCGCCCAACCGCAACACCCTCACCCCCATCACCACTCACGATGCTCGAAGCAGCAGTTTCGGAGAGTCCCCACCACCCCGCCCCTGCGCACCGAGGAGTCTGAGAACTGGGTAAGGGGCAGCAGCCGCTGGACCACGCACCTGGAGGGAGGGACCACTCAGTGCCATCCCTGTTCACTTGCAACCCCTCCCCGCGGGCGCCCCGGGCGTCACCTCTCGCGGTCCAGCAGGAAGGCCCGCGCCGCGGGACGCTGGCTGAGGTTGGAGAGCACTGGCCCCAGGTAGTGCAGGGGCGCCCGGGCGTTGTAGTCGGGCGTGCACAGCGCGCGCACCAGCCGCTCCAGGCCCCACTCCCCCGGCTCCTCGGCCTCCAGCGCTGCCATCAGCGCGGCACACGGCGCCGGCTCGCGGCTGAGATTGGCCAGCGCGGCGGCCGCCTCCTCGGCCCAGGGCCACGCTGGGTCCAACGCGCGGCCCAGCAGGCGGGCAGGCAGCGCGGGCTCGGCCTCCAGCAGCCGCTCGTGCAGGCCGGGCTCGGCAGCCAGGTTGACGAGCGCACGAGCGGCGTCGCGGGCCGGGGCCGGGGCCGCGGCCGCAGCCAGCTCGACCAGCGCCCGCAGCAGCGCCGCCTGGCCGGCCAGCAGCGCCCGACCGGGCCCAGAGCCGGTCAGCGCCAGCACGTGCCGCACCGCCTCCGCCTGCAGGTCCGCCCGCGCCCCGGGCGCCAGGAAGGGCAGCAGCTTCGCCACCTCCGCCTCCACGCCGGCCTCCGGCATCGGCAACCCTGCGGGAGCTAGCCCATCAGCCGGCGCGCCCGTGCCAGTCCGGGCCTCCCCCATGCCTGCAGGTGCCTCCCGATCACCCACGCCGCCACCGGGGTCGAGAACCCGCCCATCAAGGGAGCGGAAGCCGCAGCCACCAATCAGAGGCTGCCGACTCTGCGCGCGGGGCGGGGTCGGCGTGCGGAGGCGGGGCCACGCCGAGGCCCGGGGCATTGTGGTCTGGGTGCCCCGCTCCCCGCCCCCGGCCGCGTTGAGGGGGGGGGCGGCGGGGGCTGGAGGGAGGAGGTGCGCGGACCGAAGCCAGGAACCCCGGCTGTGACACCGGTCCCCGGGCCCGGCCAGCCACTGGTGGCTGCCTGACGGCACCGGCCCCATTCCGTCGTGGGTGGGGCAGAGATCTGTCGCTGGAAGAGTCACATGATCAGTTACTTTAATTGACTTTCTAATATTAGACCAGCCTGTGTTTCCGGCATAATCTCCGTTTGGTCCTGATAATACTTAACGTTTTTATATGTTGTATTGAGTTTGCTAAAATTTTGTTTAGAATTTTTACATCCTGGTCTGTAGTTTTCATATAAAGCCCTGGTTTTCTTATCAGAGTAGTACTGGCCCCTGAAGGATTGGGGGAATGTTCCCTCTTCTTCAGTTCTCTGGAAGAGTTTGTGAAACTAGTATTTCTTCTGTAAGTGGTTGGTAGCAATACCCAGTGAAGCCATCTGCGCCTGAAACTTCCTTCTAGAAAGATTTTGCGACCACCAGCCCTTTAATAGACACATAGCTATTCAGGTTGCCACTTTCCTCTTGAGTGACTTCTGGTAGTTTGTGTTTCTCAAGGAATTGGTTCAGATGAAATTGGTTTAGATGGAAATCTAAAGTGTCAGATTCATTGGCATCAAGTTGTTCATAATCTTCCCTTATCCTTTTAAGGGAAGTGGTAGTGTCACTTCTCATCCCTGATGCTGTCCATTTTTGACTTGTCCGTCTTGCCAGAGATTTGTCCATGTTATTGACCTTACTAAAGAATCATGTGGGATTCATATATTTTTTCTATTTTCTTTTTAGATTTAGTGAATGTCCACATTGACCTTACTATTTCCTTTCTTCTGCTTATTCCGGGTTTAATGTGCTGTTCTTTTTCTAGTTTCTTTAAGGTAAAGGCTGATTGATTTGGGACATTTTCTAATACAAGATTTTGCCCTCATCTATTCCTTGCCTCACGGTTTATGTTATGTACTTCTGCATAGGTTAATAACCCCTTAGTAGATTGATATTATTTTTATTTCACTCTAAGGGCTAGAACAAAGCCTGTAGGGACAGTGATGCCCGGGAGAGCCACTGAGGGGGAATAGCATGCCCCTGAAGGCAGCGGGTAATCAGGTCCTAGAGCCGGGATTTGCCCCCAGGTGAGACCTACAGGCACCTCATAGCCTCAGTCCCAACCTAACCTTGTGTGGAAAGCCACTTGCCTGAAATTGAGGAAGAGGGTAGACAAGTCCAAGGAAATGCCCACCTCTCCAAGGAAACCACATGCTCTGACACACAGATCCTGCCCATAAGAGTTGAAAATTTCTCAAGAAATGGAGTCGGAATATTATGGATAATGTAGGTAATTGATGCCCTCTGGTGCATCTGGTGGGTACGTCTGACTGAGACAAAAGTGTGCACCTTCAGAGCCCACTGGTGTCCAGAGGCGAACCAGCAAGCCCTTGCTTTGACTGATTCAAGGAAGCGTTTACAGTAATCACCAGGTATGGAGTCTTAAATATTCCCAAGATAAATTAAAAGATACAAAGTTACTGGAAGTAGTTTCAAAGTTCAAGTTACAAGAATTGTACAAAGAACTTCCACTACCTTTGACTCTGACACCTCAGTCAAATTCCTAAGTTACCCCACTTATCCCAATACTGACCTTTTAGCAGAGGGTGCTGTCACGAGTACTTTCAGTCTCCTTCAACTGGTAGCTACTCTTCAGTCTTTGACTTTCATGCCCTTGACACTTGCAGAATACCAACCAGCTCTTTTGTAGCATGTTGCTCAGTTTTTGCCTGGTTGCCTCATGATTAGATTCAGGTTATAGATTTCTGGCAGGAAGGGGGCGCCTAGGTGGCTTAGTCGATTACGTATCTGCCTTCAACTCAGGTCATGATCTCAGGGTCCTGGGATGCAGTCCCGCATCAGGCTCCCTGCTTAGTGGGAGGTCTGCTTCTCCCTGTCCCTCTCCCCCTCCCTCTGCTCATGCCCTCTCTTAAATAAATGAAGGAAGGAAGGAAGGAAGGAAGGAAGGAAGGAAGGAAGGAAGGAAGGAATACTATGGAGGTGAGGCTGAGCTCTTTTTGTTGAGTCCCATCAGTTTGCCCCCACAGTGGAGATGTTTATTTTGATTACTTAATTAAGGTGAATTGCCCAGGATTTTCACTGTTAGGTTACTCTTTTTCTCTTTGTATTTAGTAAATGTTTTATGGGGAAATACTTTGAGATCATGTAAATAGTCCATTCCTCGTCCACCTTTCACTCATTAGTTTTTGCATGTAGTTTTTAATTATTGTAGGAGAGAAAGCTTTCTCTTTACCTATTTTTGTTCATTTATTTGTTTATGTCAATGAAGACTCATGGAGTCTTATTTATTAGTGTTTTTAAAGTTAATTTATTGAAGTAATCTCCACACCCAGTGTGGAGCTCGAACTCATGACCCCGAGATCAAGAGTCACTCGCACATCCAATCCAGCCAGGTGCCCCTCATGGAGTCTTACTTTATTCAAAGAAATAAAACACTTTACTCTCATTATTGTGATCCAAAATTTGGCCATTGGAAGGACCTTCAAGGATGGTCCTGTGTATTATTTATTTTATTTTTTAAGATTTTACTTATTTGAGAGAGGGAGAAGAGTGCAACTCGGAGAAGGGGTCAGGGAGGAGGGGAGAAAAAGGAGAGGGAGAGAGAATCTGAAACAGACTCCGTGCTGAGCATGGAGCCTGATGGCAGGGCTCAGTCAAACCACTGAGAGATCATGACCCCAACAGAAACTAAGAGTTGGGTGCTCAACCGACTGAGCCACCCAGGCGCCCCTCCTGTGGTATTATTTAAAATAGCTTTATTGAGGTGTGCCTGGGTGGCTCAGGTGGTTAAGCATCTGCCTTCGGCTCGGGTCATGATCCCGGGGTCCTGGGATCCAGTCCTGCATCAAGCTCCCTGCTCAGCCGGGAGCCTGCTTCTCCCTCTGCCTGCCGCTCCCCCTGCTTGTGCTCTCGCATGCTCTCTCTTTCTGTCAAATAAATAAAATCTTAAAAGAAATAACTTTAGGGGCGCCTGCGTGGCTTAGTCGTTAAGCGTCTGCCTTCGGCTCAGGTCATGATCCCAGGGTCCTGGGATCGAGCCCCGCATCGGGCTCCCTGCTCCGCGGGAAGCCTGCTTCTCCCTCTCCCACTCCCCCTGCTTGAATTCCCTCTCTCACTGTGTCTCTCTCTCTGTCAAATTAATAAAAAAAAATAATAACTCTATTGAGATGTAACCCATATACCATCCAAATCATCCATTTAAATTCAATGTTTTTTGGTATATTACATGATTAATTTTGTAAACGGTAGTAAAATGTATATAACAAAATTGGCCATTTAAACCATTTTTTTAAGTACGCTTTACGCCCAAGATGGGACTTGAACTCATGACCCCAAGATCAAGAGTCGTATGCTTCACCAACTGAGCCAGCCAAGGCACCTAAACCAGTTTTAAGTGTTGCATTTCTCCCTCTCTCCTCCCTCCAGTGACCTCTAATCTACTTTCTAAATAGATTTCTCTCTTCTAGGAACCTCAACGGTACACCTTGTGTAGCTACGATGACGTCAAAACCAAGGAGTGTGTGTAGTTTTATGCCACTTTACCACCTGTGGAGACTCATGGAACCAATGCGGCTGTCAAAATAGGGAGCGGTGTCATCGCCACGAAGACCTCCTTGTGCCACGCGAGCTCCCAGCCTTGCCCCGGGGAAGCACAAACCTGTTCTTCCTCTGTAACTCTGTCACTTCTCGAGTGTGACGGAAATGGAATCACACCGCAGATGACCCCTGGAGGTCGTCACGCGTGTCACACGTTTCATTTTTATGGCCACGGAGTACCCCGTGGTGTGCACCTGCCAGTGGGGTGGCCATTTGCCTGTTGAAGGACCTTTGTGTCATTTCCAGGCTGCGGCTATTACAAATAAAGCTGCTGTAAAACATGGTGTCCGGGTTTTTGTACAGACACGGATCTTCATTCCTCTGGGATAAATGCTGAGTTGTAGGTATGGCTGCTGGATTGTAGGTCCTGGTATGTTCAGTTTTCGAGAAACTGCTGAATGGTTTTCCAGAGTGTGCGGACCATTTTGCGTTCCCACAAGCAAGTATTGAGATCCAGTTGCTCCGAATATTCACCAGCATTTGGTGATGTCAACTCTTTTTATTTTAGGTATTAATTTGCGTTTCTCTAATGGCTAGTGATGTGGAGCATCTCCTCTTTGGTGAAATGTCTGCTTCTTTTGTCCATTTTCTAGTGGGATTGTTTGGTTTCTACCATTAATTTTGAAAGCTATTTTTTTTTTTTTCATTCTAGCTGGATGTTCTTTGTGGACAGGCCATTTGCAGGCATTTTCTCCTGGTCGTGGCTTGTCTTTCCATCCTGCTAACAGGGCCTTTCACAGAGCAGAAGGTTTAAAATTTGATAAAGTCCAACTTTCTGATTTCTTTCATATATGGCGTTTTGAGCATCATGTCTGAGAATACTTCATCAGTTGCTCGTCCAGAAGATCTTTTATATTTCCTTCTCAATTTTTCCTAGTTTTACATTTAAATATACAATTCACTTTGAGGTTTGTCCCTAATTTTATGGTCTCTTTTGCCATAAATTTTTAAGATTTTATTTATTTGAGAGAGAGAGAGAGGGAAAGCATGAGCAGGGGGGAGGGGCAAAGGGAGAGGGAGAAGCAGGCTCCCCGCTGAGCAGGAAGCCCAATGCGGGACTCAATCCCAGGACCCTGGGACCATGACCCAAGTGGAAGGCAGACGCCTAACCGACGAGGCCACCTAGGCGCCCTTTGCCATAATTTTTTTTTTTTTAATCTGCAAATATGCCTATCTTTTCCTTCTGAGTATTCTGAGTGAATATTTTTCTAAATTACCTTTTGATATATTTATAGTTTTAGTTTCTACATTGCAATCTTCAAATCATCTGAACATTACTTTTGTAAATGATGTAAGAAAGGGGTCTAGGGACCCTGGGTGGATCAGTTGGTTAAGCGTATGCTTTCAGCTCAGAGGGGAGCCTGCTTCTTCTGCCTCTGCTCCTCCCCTTGCTTGTGCTCTCTCTACCAAATAAAATCTTTAAAAAAAAAAGGGAGTGTCTGGCTTTGTTTTTTTTTGTTTTTTTTTTTAAAGATTTTATTTATTTGAGAGAGAGAATGAGAGAAAGCACATGAGAGGGGGGAGGGTCAGAGGGAGAAGCAGACTCCCCGCTGAGCAGGGAGCCCGATGCGGGACTCGATCCCGGGACTCCAGGATCATGACCTGAGCTGAAGGCAGTCGCCCAACCAACTGAGCCACCCAGGCGCCCTGGCTTTGTTTTCTATCTACATAATCTGTACTAGGCATTATTCCTAAGTGTGTTAGATGTAAAGTTCATTTAATTCTGACAGCAGTCCTGCACAGCCTCTGAGCATCATCATCCCCACTTCATACATGGGAAACCAAGGCTCAGAGAACTGGGTAACTCATTAAGGCCATTCGGTTAGGAAGTGAAGGGAATACATGTATTTGTGATTTTGATTTCTTCTACAGTGAAAATTCCATTCCAGTTTTTTGTACATTTTTTTCTGTTGGGTTGTGTGATTTTTTTAATTGTTATTGATTCGTTGAAGTTCTTTATGTATTTTTTTAAAAACTTTATTTTTATTTATTTGACAGAGAGAGACACAGCGAGAGAGGGAACACAAGCAGAGGGAGTGGGAGAGGGAGGAGCAGGCTACCCACTGAGCAGGAAGCCCGATGTGGGACTCAATCCCAGGACCCTGGGATCATGACCTGAGCTGAAGGCAGACGCTTAACGACTGAGCCACCCAGGCGCCCTCTTTGTGTATTTTGGAGATGAGTTGTTTATAGTTACATGTATTACAGATATCTCCTCTCTGGCCTTTTTATTCTCTGAATGGTATAGATGAATAGATTTCTTAATTTTAAGATAATTATATATTAATATGTATTAACATATAGTTTCCCTTTATAATTAGTGGGTTTTTAAAACTTGTTTAAATTTGCCCCACTTTCTCATGTTGATATTTTTTATTTTTATTTTTATTTATTTTTTATTTTTTAAAGATTTTATTTATTTATTTGAGAGAGAGAATGAGAGAAAGCACATGAGAGGGGGGAGGGTCAGAGGGAGAAGCAGACTCCCCGCCGAGCAGGGAGCCCGATGCGGGACTCGATCCCGGGACTCCAGGATCATGACCTGAGCCGAAGGCAGTCGCTTAACCAACTGAGCCACCCAGGCGCCCCCTCATGTTGATATTTTTTAAATATATTTTTATCTATTTTTAATTTACTTTTATTTAAGTAAACTCTATGCCCAACATGGGGCTTGAACTCACGACCTTGAGATCAAGATTCACACACTCCACCGACTTAGCCAGCTAGGTGCCCCTCTGATGTTGGTAATTTTAAAAGAATTTATTGCTTTTATAATTTAAAGGAAACACCTGTAGAAGCAGACTACTATCGGCCCCACAGTCCTTGTTTTAGCAGGCACGGATCCTTTTATACAAATGTCATGTCTTTGGTTCTCCAGACCTGGCAATTCTTGCCCTACTTGGCCTAGGAAATGGCCACCCTCTCCACAGCCCCTCAACAAGAGCCCCGGCACAGTTTGGGGGTTGTGGGGAAGGTATGGGAGACAAATTCTATCCAGAACACCACTGAGAAAAAAACTTCTAAAGTCGGAGGCTGAACACATTCAGAGGGAAGAAACTGCTATTCAACGACCCAAAAGGAGGATGTAAAAGCTAGAACAGCCCTTCACAAAGGCAGACCCGGGGCACCTGGGCAGCGCAGTCAGTCAAGCATCCGACTCTTGGTTTCTGCTCAGGTTGTGATCGCAGGGTCATGGGATCGAGCCCCATGTTGGACTCTGGGCTCGGGGCAGAGTCTGCTACAGATTCTTTCTCCCTCTCCCTCTGCCCCTCCCACTTGTGCTCTCTCTAATAAATAGATAAATCTTTAAGAAACAAAACAAAGGCAGACCTAATAGCAAGTGCACACATGTGCCGTGTGCCCCACAAGCTGTGGGACCAGTGCCCTGGGAGGTCCCGACAGCTCAGAAAGAAGCCAAGGCCCTCTGAGACCCTGCACTTCACATATAAGTTCGGTCTCGTGGCAATTTTTAGATAGAAGGGTCCAAAGGATGCTGCCCCTTTATTGCTTCTTGAATAAAGCACATGGGACTCCATCAATTCTTCTCCCTTCCAGCCAAGGGTAGACTCTGGTTTGAAGTCTGCAGGCCCCCCACCCCACTCAATACACAGATAAACACACACGTATGTGTGTGTGTGGCCTAGACCCTCCCAGTCCCTCCATGCTTGGCCACTCACTGGCCCAGGAGTCCCCACTCCCATCTTGACCCCAGTAATTTACTGATAAACACAGGCTGAGTGCCTGAGCAGGACATGCCCACGCAATGGGTCCGGCTCCTGGCAGGCAGACCCACTCCCACCAGGAATGCTGCTCCACCAAGGGCTGACCATGCCAGACTCCACCATGCCCCCCCCCGCTCCTGCCTTGCAACTGCCACTGGCAGATTCATCCACCATCGAGACTGCTCTGCTCACACTTGCAGCCCCCAAAGATGAAGGTGGCACCCTTTTTCCTGGCCATGACCTCTGGACTTTATTTCCAGGGGAGAACAGCTGACTGGAGAGCCACATCTCGACTCCATGCTGGAGGGAAGAAGAGACTGGGGCCACCAGCCTGGTCAGCTGTAGCTGTCAGGGTCTGTATAATCTGGCAGAAAGTAGCGCTGCAAGGCGGGTTGCAGGAGCCGTGGGGGCAGCGGACGGGCAGGCCTGGGCCAGTCCGGGGGGAAAGGCTGAACTTCTACCCTCGGCAGCGGCAGCTTCAGCATCCGGATGGAGCCACTGAGGGTACGGCCCACCCAGAGCTGGGACCGCATCCAGCCTGCGGGCCAGCAGGTCAGTGAGGTCTCAGGGTGGGGTCGATGCCCACTGGGACCCCGGCTAGGGTGGAGGTAGGTGTCGGGGCCCAATTCTACCCCTGTCCCCACTCACCCCTCAGTCTCATCGGAGACCTCTGGACCTTGGCCTCCTGAAGCCGGAGGATGGGATAGTGCCTGGAGGGGTAAGGAGTAGGTTTGGCCCAGCCAGCCCCTCAGCTGCCCCGCACAGGCCCCGTCCCAGCCTGGGGGCCCCCTCACCAGTGATCCCGGGGCTGGGGCAGTACGGTGTTGGACTCGGGTGGGCACGGGCTCAGGCGCAGTCTCTCGAGCTCCTCCTGCGGGAGACCTTGCTGCCGTGCTCGCTGCTGTTCGCAGAAGAAGTTGAGCGCGTCGATCGGCCCCAGGTCCAGCATCTGTGACCGGGACCAGTCCGTCTGCTCCAGCGGCAGTGGGTCCCCCTGCAGCGCGGCCGGTGCTGAGGAGCGCAGGTGGACCTCGGAGGGGCAGAAGTGCAGCAGCGCCTCGGACAGCGCGCGTCTGGTCCGCTGGAGGCGCGCTGGTGAAGGCATCGGCTTGGCTCCAGACTCAAGGACAGCCAAGTTCAGCTCCCCGGGTGAGGGTACCCAGGAACGGACTGAGGGTGTCCCTGAGACATGAGGTGACCCAGCGAGCCCTGAAATCCGCGACAGGGTCTCCTTGGGAGGAGATGGAAACACCGAGGTCTGGGAGACCTTGGGCAGCATCTCGGACAACTTGGCCACGGAAGGCTGCAAGTGCTCCGTCTGTGGAGGAAGCAGCCGGTGGACAGTGCCCCCAAGCCCAGGGCAGAGGCTGCCCCTGGCCCCAAGCTTGAGATCTGGCTGCAGACTCCTTCCTGGGGAGGAGCAGGATGATCCCCAGAAATGGGGGGTTGGGGGACAGGAGAGGACCCCTGAGGCACAGATGCAGAGCAAGGCAAAGAGCCGGCCAGCCTCACCTGGATCCCCCGCCCCTCCCCTCAAAGACCTGGGGAAAGCCTGGGCGGGGGGCGGGGTGGGGGGGGCAAGACAGGAGGCTCCACTGCAAGCAGCCTGCCCCACCCCTGCCCCCCAGGACCTGCAACCTCTGGATCATTTCCTCCAGCTTCTGGCAGCAGCATTTGCGCAGGGCAGCCTTGGAGTCAGCGTCCGGGCCCTGGACCCAGGTCATCATCTCCCTGAACAGGAAGCCCTGCGGGTCCTGAAGGCCTAGCCCGTCCAGCAGCTTCCTGAGCTCGGGCCTGGGACAGGTGTGAGCAGCTGATCCAGAGGCCTCTCCGCCCCCCACCCGCCCCCACTAGCGGGGAGGACGAGTAGGGAGCAAGACTCACCGGCGGGAGGCAGGCGAGTAGAGGAAGTAGGACATGAGCTCCAGCACCACCTCGCGGGACTCCAGGGAGCAGGCCAGGAGGAGCTGCAGCGCCAGCATCACGAACTGCTTCTGCGTCTGGTCCTGGGCGTACAGGAGCCAAGCGCGTCGAGTGGGGAGCGCGAGGTCCCGGGCAGGCCCGTGGGGCGGGGCTAGGGGCGGGGCTAGCGGTGCACCTCGAGGCTGGGGGGCTGGTCCAGGTTGAGCTGGCGCACGAGGACGCCCTGCAGCTGATTACGAAGGTCTCCGCTCAAGTCGGGCAGCAGCCTCAGCAGCGCTTTCAGGATGTGCACGCAGTCTGCCCAAGAGGCCTCGTACAGCAGGTCCACGAACAGGGAAGCCAGGCCCTCCACCGTGCTCACCTCGGGGTAGGCCTGCGGGTACCGCGTGCTGAGGCCCTGCCTGCCCGCCCCCCGCCGCCAGCTTGGGCTTCCCAGGTGCCCGAGACCCCCGAACCTCCAAGGTGAAGATGGGGAACAGCTTTTTGAACCAGTTCTGGCCGACGAAAAAGTGCAGGAACCTGGGCAGATGCCCGTAGCGCTCTTCCCAGAGCGAGTGCCCATAGGGGTGCCAGGGGTGGCGAAAGCAGGTCTCGGTCCTGGTGGCGGTGCGAGAGTGCGCGCGCTTCGGGGTCAAATACTCGGAGTTCTGCGGGGGCGGCAGCAGCTGCAGGCCCCTCCTCTCCGCCCCGCGCCGCCCTCGGCAGCCCAGCCCCCAGCAGGTGCCTACCTGAGCCTCCGTCTCCTCGGACTCGGAGAGCTGCGTAGGTGGGCTCAGGGTCTCTGAGGACCAGTCCACATACCGGTGCTCCTCCTCCTCCTCTTCCCCCAACCACCCGGTCAGCTTCTGCTGCCACCTGGCCGCGCACCGCCTGATGCGCCGCGGCAGCCACAGGTCGTCCTGGCGCCTTCCTGGCTGCACAGGGGAGAGCCCAGGCGGTCGCTGGCACGCTGCACTGCGGGGACCGCAGGCCCCTTCCTGCAGAGCCCGAGGGCGAGGCCCCCCAGGTCCCCCTTGCCTTGCTTCTGCGGCTGGTGAGCTGGGCGAGGGCTCCGAGGCCGCTGACCTCCCAGTGAAGCCCCATCTGCTGCAGCACCACCGAGTTGGGCACGCTGCCCGGGAAGCTGACAGGCCGCTGCAAGTCCTGGGGTGGCACACAGCATGGGGGCTGAGACCTGCACGCCACCCCACCCCAGAGACCACCTGGCAGAGCGGCCCCAGCGCCAGCGCCAGCCCGCCTGCCGGGCCTCACACCCCTGTCCGAGCGAACGTGGGTTAAACCTCTGAACATCAGAGACTATTTGGGAACTAAAACTTCATCCCGTTTTTGAAAGAGGAATTATATGGAACTGCGCCAAGACTGAACATAGGACTGCTGTCCCTGCATTCTTGACAAAAAAAAAAGTGGACACTCTGCAGGGCCCCTGGCGGGCTCAGTCCGTGGAGCACACAACTCCTGATCTTGGGGTTGTGGGTTCGAGCCCCACATTGGGTGTAGAGATTGCTTAAAAGTAAAATCCTAAAAAAAAGAAAGAAAAAAAGAAAAAAGTGGACACTCTGCAAAAGCGATTTTTCCTGTAACCAAACTAAAGTACTCAGAAAACCAGCGAAGTGTACAATTTAATTACATTTTCCCATCGTAACTGGTGTAAGTTTCCTAGTGCTCCTGCAACTTGCCAAGACAGTCACCTGGCTTTTACTGCTCAGCAAGATTCGATCTGGGTTGCGACCAAATCTGTGCTCCCCAAACTGCAATTCTAAGATCCCAATTGCTTTTGTTTTATTTCAGTTCTGCCTCTTTTCTCAGTCGACACCCAAAACACACAGGCAAAAAAACCCTTTAGAAATCAGACGGAAGGGCAGTCAGTGAGACATCAGCTGTGATGACTGAGGAGGAAGTCTGGGCAGCTGCTGGCCTCTGGGGAACCCTGACACCCCCACACGCTCTCCACAGGACTGGGGCCTCAGCCCTGGAACAGGGATGTCTATAAGGAGCATGGGGGTCGGTGGTAGGAACATGGAGGGGGGCGTCGAGAGTCTGGGTAGACGGTGCAGCTATGGGAAGGATCAGCACCCACCTGGGCAGCTGACAGTGCCAGAAGGTGCTTGGAGAGAGGCTTATCTGGTGTCTGGGGTGGGAAAGGTTGGGAAGGTGGTGGATTGCAAGGGGCCAGCTCCTGTTGACTTCACTCCTCTAAAGGGAAAGGACTCTGGTCTTCCCAAGTCCGTACAGCACCCACCCAGCCCTTGAACTGGGGAGGAGGTGTGTGGGCACCATCAGCTGGCACCAGCTCTGGCTCGGCCTGGTGTCTCCCCCAGGAAGCTCTGGCTCTCTGGCAGCTGGTCCCCAGAGAATAGGGCTGGCCAGGAGGTGGGTGGAAGGCTGTGGGCGGGCATGGCTCTCAGGTCAGATTTCAGCACAAGATTTGCAGCAAAGGGAAGATGGGGGACATAAAAAGGTTGCCCCCGGGAGGGAGGTGCCTCTAGGAAGAGCGAGGGGCTCTCACCTTGTAGGGCCGAATGGTGGCAGGAAAGAAGCCTCGAAAGTTGGAAAGAGGCTCCTTGGGCCGCCTCTTCATCAAGAGGGGGACCTGGGGACAGGAGAAGGGCTCAGAGCCAAGCATGGACCCTCAGTGCCCCTGCAGCCCTGCTCTTGGGTAGGCAGCACCCCCTGCCCAGCACGCCCTGTGTTGTAGGTGGAGGGCCGGTGGGCCTGGGACCACAGGCTTCTCCCCTTGGAGTCGCTCCAAATGCAGCTGCAGGTCCAGACTGAGGCCCAGGTTACTGCTCAGGGAGGAACGGGCCAGCAGCTGGGGTGAGGGAGACGTTTGTCACTGGGTGGCCACAGGGTCATGGGGTCAGGGCAGAGGTGGGAGGGGTGGGAGGCCTTGCCTGGGATGCCTTGCTGTGCACCCCCTGGTGTATGGGTGGGATAGGCAAGGGGACTCGGGGAGGGTGGGCAAAGTGCTGGCCCACGGCTCCCGGGTCCTGTCGGGGGAGGGCTGCGGGCACTGTCGGGACTTCAGTGCAGACTCTGGCCTTCCAAAGACAGTTGGCAGCTCTGTGTAAGGTACACACATCCCAGGTCTCTCTCTCCATGGTGAGGGTCACGGTACTCCACCGCTGGAACTCTCTTCCAGAAGGCATGTCCTAGGAGGGATGCAGGGGAGATGGGCAGTGTCGGAGGCCCTGGGCGAAGAGCGGGGCTGGAGTCAAGGCTGAGGCTGGGGGAGGCTTCACACCCACCAGCAAGCCAGGGCCATAGATCAGGTGCAAGTAGTTGTCAAACGCCTCCTGCCGCTCGTGCCAGGAGGGTGGGGGCTGGGCTGCCGGGACCACCAGCCCCAGACTCAGCTGCTGAAGGTCTTGATCCCGCGCAACTAGGGCTTCCAAGTCCTGGGGGAGGGGTCAGGGGTCAGCACACTCCTCCTTCAGTCTTGCCATCTGCTTCCCAGACAACCACAGGGACCCCAGGCCTATCCCAAGGACCGAACAGGAGTGGCCTGGGCCTGGGCCAGGTGCAGGGTTGGGGCTTTGGGGTGGTGAGGGGTCAGGACCCATCCCACCTCCTCCAACACTGGCTGCTGAGGTGTTGCCATCTGGCGATGGATGAAAGACGAGTCTGTGCTGCAGACAAGGATGCGCACAGGTGGGACACTGGTGTCATCACCACTGGTGGGATTGGGCAGATGCTGGGACAAGGACCTGGGGGTGGGGGTGGCCAGGCCTCTGGCAGGAGGAGGTATGCCAGGGCTGGGATCGGGGATTGGGGTGGCCTAAGTGGCCTGAGAGCTCTGGGGCCTTGTGCTGGGTCACACAGCCAGGCCTGACTCAGGGGAGCTGGGCAGGGGCCTCCAGGACAGCTCAGCTGGGCCTGCCAGCAGACCTAAGACTGGCCACCCCATGGAGGTTGGCGAGCCTCTGCAGCTGGGCTGAGGTCAGCGACTCCTGGCTGGTCAGTGGTAGTGGAGGGTCATGCACCACATCAGGGACCTTCTGGCACAGGTTCTGCACAGGAGAAGGGAACCTATAGCCCTGGCCTCAGGAGGCTTGTCCACCCACAGGAACTCCCCCCCCCCATCCTGTGTTCACCGTGTACCTTAACCAGGTAGGATGTGGGCAGGTAGAGCTTATGAGACACCAGGCAGAGTCGGGTGCCCAGAGCCAACACCAGGTCCCCACTGTTGCTGCTGAAGGTCAGGCCCTGAGGGGCACCATTCAGCTGCAGGAGCCTGGAGGGGTGTGGAGGGCCAGGGTCCAGCCTTGTGCCACAAAGTAGGAAGCCCGAGCAGGGGCAAGGCCCTGTTCCCCTGTCCAGCCTCTCGGCTCTGGCGGGGGTAGAGGTAGGAGAGCCCGCGCGCGGCCCATGCGCTCCCAACCGCTCCCTCCCTCCTTCCCAGCCCCAGCCCACCGCAGCAGGCGGTTCTCTGCCGTCCAGATGCGGACGGTGCAGTCCAGGCTGGAGCAGGCATACAGCTCGAGCGTGGGACAGCAGCACAGGCCTGCGGGACAAGGCTCGGGTGAGGGCCCAGGGCCAGGCGGCGCCTCGGGCTTTACTTCTGCCCTGCCCCCTCACCAGTGATGTGGTCCGTGGGGTCATCCTGGGGCCGGTGCTCACAGCGGGGGCTGTCGCCCGGGCCGAACTGCACCAAGCCGTAGGTGGCGCTGTCCGGATCCTCAAAGCCCGCAGTGATCCGCTTGCCGAGCGCACAGAGCCCCACGGCAGGGCGGCTGCAGGAGAAGGTGCGCAGCAGGCTCAGGCTGTCCTCCGCATAGGGGTAGACGCGCCACATCTTCACTGTCGAGTCTCCGCCTGCAGGGGCGGGAGCCAGGGCTGGGCCTTTGTGGGGCAGCGAAGGGATTCCCAGGCCCTCTGCGGGGGGAGGGGAGATACGGACCGGAGGTCACGATGCTGTTCCAGGTAGACGCTATGGCAGTGACGGGGCCCGGGCTGTGTGCCTCGGTTTGGAAGACGGTCTTCGACCCGCGCCACTCCAGGACTGACAGGGTGCCATCCGTGTGCCCCACGACGGGCAGGTACCTGCGCAGGACATCCGCCCGTGGGCTCGGGCACCGTCGCCCCGCCCACCGTGCGGCTCCGGTACCCACCGGTTCTTGTCCTTGCGGGCCCGGGCCGCGTCGCTCGGGCGCGGCTCCCCCCCGTGCCGGCACACGGTCTCCCAGCCGGCCACCGCGCTGCCGGGGTCTGGGAGGTGGCTGTAGAGGTGCAGGCAGCAGGGCCTGGGCGCGGGCGCGGGCGGCGGGCACACGCGGTGCAGCACGCGCATGGGGCAGCGCGCCGCGCTGGCACACACCAGGTGGCCGGCGCGTGTCAGCAGCCACAGTGCTTCGCGCGGCAGGCAATAAAGCACTGAGGCCGCGCAGTCATCGGGCTCGAGCAGCAGCGCGCTCACGGTGCGCCCGGTGGCGACCGACACCAGGTAGACCGAGCCGTCGGCGCATGCGCACACGAGGCGCGCCGGCAGGAGGGGGTGCGGGGGCGCGGGCAGCGCGGGCACCACCTGCACGTGAAGCACTGGCGCAGAGAGCTGCGCCAGCGGCGAGTAGAGCTCGCGAAGGCGCCACAGTTCCACGCTGCTGGCGCTCAGGGAGAGCACCGGCCAGCTGGGGCCAGCGGGCGCCAGCAGGCGGTTCACGCGCCCGGACGCCACGTCTCGGCCCCAGCAGTTCAGCGCCACCTCGCCCACCTGGGCCACCGCCTGCAGGTCCCAGGTGCGCAGCGTCCCGTCCTGCGAGGCCGACAGCACCAGGGACGTGTTCGGGAGCACGGCCAGAGCTGTCACTGGGCCTGTGGGAGGGACTTGGGTCACTCGGGCTCCCCCGGGGGCTGGGGCAGGGGAGCCGTCAGCCCGGGGTGCAGCCAGTGCAGAGAAGCTTGGCCAGAGCCCAGAGCTCTTTCCCGTGGGCCGTGCACAGGGTGGAGAGAGAACGGGCCTCGAGGGCGGCATGGCATGGCGCACCTGTGTGGCCCATGAACACCATCCGGATCCGCCAGTCAGCCTCCCACACCTTCACCGTGCTGTCGCGAGAGGCTGTCACCATGGCCTCTGCCTCTAGGCAGTAGGCCAAGTCCAAGATAGCGCTGAAGGGGAGGAGGCGGCCCTGGCAGACTCTGCACCTTCCAGTGTGTGAGCCCCTGTGCCCCTGCCATGACCCGCTTGCCCTCCTGGATTTGCCTCTCCCTACCACCCTCCCTTTCTCCCGGTCCCTAGGCGCCCCCTCACCTTTTGTGCAGGTCCCGGCGCACGTCTACGAGAGCCCAGGTGTGCAGATCAAAGGTGAGCACGGCAGAGCCATAGGCCGCGAAGCAGCGTGGGACTTGGTGGGAATGCAGGGGCCCCAGAGCCAAACGGGTGAGTGTACCTGCAGGGCTTGGTGGCAGCTGCAGAGGTGACCCACACGGCACCAGGCGGCGACCCCCTGAACGGAACTTCCAGAGCACCAGGCGGCCACCCGCCTCTGCCACTAGCATCAGCCCCACGCCGGGCACTGGCAGACAGCAGAGGGGCTCGTGGCCCGGCACCCTGCCCACCCCTGGCTTGCTCAGCCACAGCAGGCTGAGGTCAGGCCTTAGGATGGCCAGCCCCTGGGGGCCCCAACCCACAAAGCGGCTCACAGCGTCCAGCGGGCCCGGCACTGCCACCAGCCCCGTGAGCACGGCTGGGGCCTGTAGCTTCTCGTAAGCCCATCCGTCCTCTCTGTGCACGTGCAGGTGGCCTGCACCATCGAGCACCACAAAGCGTCTGCCCACTGGGTCCTGGGCCACCGAGCACAGCCCAGCTGCCACTTTGAGGTGGCGCAGCGGCTCCAGCCCATGGGTCAAGCGTGCCACACACAGCTCACCTCTCTTTTCCTGTGGGCCAGGATGGGCAGGCCTGCAGTCAGCTGGGGGGTGGGGGCGGGGGGCTGGAGAGGTAGTGCACCTGCCCAGGGGAGCCAAGGGGGTCCGGGCTGGGGCCGTACCAGGGACACCTAGGGGAAGAGGTGGGCCAGAAGAAGCGTCAGTGCAGGGCCCACAGGCAAGCCCCACCTTTTCCACGAGGTCATGGAGGCCCGCACGTAGGAACAGCCACAGCTGGTGGGCACGGGCACGTGGGGTCATGTTCTGCCACCGCGAGCTGCCGGTAAAAAGCCGTGGGCCTGGCTCCGAAAGCAGCTCTGCAGGTCAGCAGGAGAAGCACTCTCGCCGCGTGGTCTCGGACCCTTACCTCTGGAGGCGTAGGCAGGCCCTCTCTGGACGGCCCTGCTGGGTTACGGGACCACCCAGGGAGTGTGGCGTCGCAGCGGACAGAGCTCGGGCCTGAGCAGGACGTGCCTGCAGCCACGTGGGCATCTGGGGGCGAGGCCAGGCCACCTCACCGTTCTTTTCTTTGAGCAGCCCTGGGTCTGGGATGTCGTAGCTGTCAGCATCATACAGGTCCAGGTCCAGCAGCAGGCTGTCGCCTTCTACTGAGTAGGGGTTGCTCGCGTCTGACCCTTCAGTCTCCATTCTAGCGGCCGCAGGTCCAGGCGGCTCAACGGACCCTAAGACCGTTGCTAGGCTACCAGACGCTGTAGGCCCCGCCTTCGACGCAGACCCCACCCCCAGCACAGCACAGAGCCTAGGTCCCCACTAAGTCACAGAAATTTTTATTGGAAACAAACAGCTGCAGCAAAGTGACACTCAGTGCACACTGCCCAACGGGCGAGGTGGCGGGGGGGGGCGGAGAGGGGTACAGGTGGGCGCCAGGGGCTGGCCAAGCCCAGGGTGGTGACCGCAGGGGCCTGCTGACTGGATCTCAGACCCTTTGGGCTGGAGTGTGCAGGCCCACGCCTGATCCGGCACAAAATACAAAAATAAACTCTGTAGTCCAGCTGTCCCTGCCTTTGTCGGTTCACTGGGACAGGCAGTGGCCTTCCCACCAGGCCCTGTGCTGTCCAGGCCAACCACAACACGGGCAGCCGGAGCCTGTGGGGGTGAGTAGACATCTGTAGGAGGGAGCCAAAGGGCTAGGTGGGCGTGGCCTTGGGCCAGGGGCTGACCCTGGGGCCCCTCGAGTGGGCAGTTCCAGGCACTGGTTGAAGCTGAATGAAGCTGGGGCCTCTGCTCCTCGTCCTCACATACAGATCACCGGGACCCTGGGTAGAAGGTGGCACACAGTAAGCTTAGAGGAGCCAACACCCAGGAGATCAGGCAGAGGGGTGCCCACTCTGTCCCACCCACGCCTGGCTCCAGCGACCGTCACACACCTGTCCTCCTCTATGGTGCTCGTCTCCTCGGGTCCGCCCTCACTGCCTCCACCTCCGCTCTCTTCTTCCTCCTCCTCCTCCTCCTCTCCCAGCTCCATGTCCAGCTCGTTGCCTGCCTCCGAGGGGGTATAGGTGGAACCACTGGGGGAGGTGTGGGAACTGGTCTTAGGACTGCCTATCCCTGGCCAGTTGCTGACCCCAGGGAGAATGTCCAGGGAGGACAAAGTCGGGCAGGGGGGAGGGGGAACAGCTGGGGAAATGGTGTGTGGGCCAAATAGGAGCTAAAGGAAAGGAGGCGGACAGGTGCTAACCTGATGGAGCGGCAGCTGAAGAAGACAATCCGCTTAAGCCGCTTGTTGTAGAAGAAGTAGTTGAAGGACCAGAGGCTGCCATCCTCCCCAAAGGGATCTGAGTCCAAGTCTGGGTTGTAACTGGGGAGTGTGGGGCAAGAGGTGGTATGAAGGCCCACGTGCCACACACACCCAGGGCCCACCTGCAGGGATGCCAGCCCACCTGTAGATGTCACATTCGGCCAGGCAGATCTCCTCATCTACTGCATTCCATAGCTGTGGCTTCAGGGCCTTGAAGTCTTCCCGTACTGCTGAGAACAGACTGCAGTTGACTGCATTCACCACCTAGGATGGTCACAGTTGGGACTGACTCAGGATGCAGGACAGAGGGCATGAACCGGGCTGAGCCCAGGGGCCACTGCAGGTAGGAAGGACAGTAAGCATAGCTGGGGGGCTGTGGGCCCCTCCCCCCAGCTGACCCTTACCCAGCTGAGGCTGGGTTCTCTGCTGAACTCATGGCTTCGGGCTGTGCTGAAGTCATAGTCAGGCCGGAAGGACTCATTGAGCGTGGCGATCAGGTAGAAGAGGGTCTTGCGGCTGCACTTGTCGCTCAGCGGGCCCTCGTCCTCACCACCTTGGCTCTTGCTCAGTCTGCACGGAGAAAAGCATCAGCCCAGCGCTGCCCTGCACCCCACAGCCCACGGTGGGCCGACTCTGCCCCGGCTCACCTGCTGGGGCTGAGGCCTGAGGTCTGGGGTGGAGACAGTGCCTCTAGCACGTGGGGCTGGCCCTCCTGGCAGAACTGCTTAAACATGTGCTTGTCATCTCCTGCCATCTTACACGAGTAGCTCTCGATCCTACAAGGTGCAAGGGGGACCATGGAGCATGCTACCCATCAGGTTCAACTCTGGGCCAGGACATCGTAACCTCTGAGTCCCATGGAGCCCAGGCCTCACCTGCCGATGATGTGGGCATCTCCAGTCTCCACTGTCAGCTGTGAGTTGATGGCCTCGAAGCTCGAGTTCTCCAACAGCTTCATGTCCTTGAGGAAGGGGTTCTGTGCTTGGAGGGGCTAGTGCTGCCTGAGGATGGGAGGCCAGCCCCTGAGTATCTGGCCGCCGAAGCTCAGCCTTTGGCCTCCCTACCCAGTAAGTGGAGCCATTAGAAACAAGCTGGGTCCCTCCTGCAGCTTACTCCTAAACCCTCAGCACTGGCAGGAGAGATAAATTAGATCCTCTTACCTGAGAATGGCAAGCCCAGGCTGCAGCTCAGCCAACCCCCTTCTCCCAGCCCCGATACCTGGGGGCGTACCAGGGATCCTGCTCATGCTAGGGCTCGCTGGTTTATCTCCCAGGACACCGTCCATCTGGACAGAAGAGCCTCACCCACTATGGGGGGGTGGGGTCACTGTGAGCCCGCGAACGCACAGGACTCCTGCAGTACCCCCTCGGGCTAAGCTCCTCAGCTAGAGTAAGAACCTGCCCCGGGTTAGGATCCAGCACACCTGGGGCTGGGGCCCTGCGGTCACCTGGACGCAGCACTCTTCCCTGTTCTACAAGGTCTCTAGGAAAGTAGAGAGAAAACCCATAGGCTTCTCCGTTCTTCTCCACAAGTGCGGCTAATTCTTCGGACACCAAGCAACAGAGGCAGGTACCACGACCCCCGAAGGGCACATCGGCCGGCCGCTGGGGCGCTCCAGCGTCAGCCTGGCCGCACCCGCCTCTCCGCCCGGGCTAAGGAAAACCCCAAGCTAGCCGCGGAAAACTACAAGTCCCAGGAAGCCGTGCGTCCCGGGACGCGCACGCGCGCCAGCGCGGAGGCCGCTGGGGGCTGGAGTTCTGGAGGCCCCGACTCGGTGCCCGGGACAGGGCGGACACCTACCTGCTTGCGCGGCGCTCGGTGTGGCCAGGCCGGGCCGGGTCAGGCCGGTTGACGTCGGCGCGGGTAAGAAGGCGGTGAGGGCTCCGGGCAGCGCGAGCTCCTCAGGACCGGAGGGCGGCGCCGCGGCCTCCTTTCGGGCCGCACTGTATCCGGGGGAAGAGGCTCCGCGGCGACGTCCCGTTACTCCCGGCCCTGCCGGCCCTGCCGGGCTGCCACCGCGACATAGCCTCGCCCCTGCACGGCGACCGACTACCGCGACCGACCTGCCCGCCGACCGCCACACAAGGCCCGAACGAGTCAAGGAGCGAGCGAGCGACCTCTGCCTCTCCGAGCCGGACAACAACAAACGTCCGCAAGGCCCGGCCCCCCGCCCCTGAATGGCCCGCTTCAGCCGCCGGGATCGGGAGCTCGGATAGCCATAGGAAGCGTCTCCCGCCACTCACTCCTAGCTTCCACTTCTACTGGCTGCGATGCCTGTCCGTCACTCCTCCAGGGCGTGCGAACCCTCCTCCTTTCCTGCGCTCATTGGTTGAGGCCCCTTGTTCGTCCCGCCCCTGGTGTCAGCCCGCTTTCCCGGGAGTGGCTGGCCGGCCCACGCGAGGTGGGCGGGCCGGGCAGCCCAGCGGGCGGCGGGCGGCGGGCGGGAAGGAGCCTGGGAACCGCGTCCAGCTCCGGCCCCGCGCGGCCGGGGGACGCGGGCCGCTGGGCTGCAGCCCCCGCCCGCAGAGCCTCTAGGCCGTGTCCATCCTGGGCAAAGCAGGAGGGGGAGACCCGGGCTCCGACGCTCTGGCCACGGCCGGAACCCCAGGCTCGCGGCCCCAGTTTCCGGTCGGCCGAGGCGCGCAGAGGCCCGAGCCCACGGAAGCGGGCTTGGGGGTCCGGGCCGGGGCCGGACCGGAGATGGCGCCGCCCTCGGACCCGGACTCGGCCGGGGTGCTCCTGGCTGTGCACGCCGCGGTGAGGCCCCTGGGCGCGGGGCCGGACGCCGAGGCACAGCTGCGGAAGCTGCAGCTGAGCGCGGACCCCGAGCGGCCCGGGCGTTTCCGGCTGGAGCTGCTGGGCGCGGGGCCCGGGGCGGTGAGTGGGGCGGCGGGGGCGCGGGACCGGGGTCAGGGTCCTCCGCCGGCCGGCTGTGTGCCCTTGAGCAGTTCATTTGCCCTTGCTTCCGTTTCCTCGTCTGTAGAATGGGGACAAATGCTATACTACCTGCCTTTAGAGGCGTCCCGCGAGGGTTTCGTAAGGTAACTTGGGGGAAGGGCGTAGGACGGCGTAAGTGGTCTATAAATGTGACCTCGTGTTCCTTGGGTCATCATGCAGTGTGTGCTGGCGGGAGACACTGAGCCTGGACTCTCCCCTTCCTCAGGTCAGTTTGGAATGGCCCTTGGAGTCAGTTTCCTACACGGTCCGAGGCCCCAGCCAGCATGAGCTGCAGCCTCCACCGGGAGGGCCTGGGACCCTCAGCCTGCACTTCCTCAACCCCCAGGAAGCTCAGCGGTGGGCCGCGCTAGTCCGAGGTGCCACCATGGAGGGACAGAATGGTTAGTGCTCTGGCAGGAAGATTCATTTTGGCTGGGCAGGGACCGTGAGTGATGGGAGAGAACAGGAGTAGCCCCAGCCCCGCCAGGCCTGGATGGGGGAAGCAGTGGGGAAAGTGGGGCCCACTTTCCCCACTGGTGGGTTCTGGGAAGGCTCCCAGGAGGGAGAAAGTGGAGAAAAGGAATCCAAGCTGAAAAGTTGGAGCCTGGAGTACCAGGCAAATGTGGAGGGGAGAGCAGGCAGGCCCTCAGGATCTGGGTAAGACAGACGGCATCAGGAGCAATGGGGATGTACTCAGTGGGAGAGTGACAGGCTCAGATTCGAGCTACTTAAGACTGGCTGAGACCTGCATCTGTGTGGGGGTGGTGCAGATAGGGCTGGAGAGAAGGCTGTTTCCAGAGATGCTTAGGAGATGGAATTGGCTGGATTTCATGGCTATTTAAATGGAAGAGTTAGTGGTTGAGACAGAAAGCTGGAGGGAGAAGTACTGTAGAGCTCCCAGACAGGGCCTGTGTGGAAGGGCATGGAGGGGAGAGGGGCTAGCTAGGTGGATC